AAGGATCGAATGTGTTTTGCAGGATATTCGACTGTATTGGCATCATTTACGTGCGATTGTTCAGAGCACACCACTCGCGTTCAGACACGGCGCTCACGTTGGTTCTTCTTTATTTCCTAATGTTCTTTTCATTTTATTGAAAAGTTTTCAAATAGTCGCTGTGATCATTAATGTTATCAGCATGATTATTGATAGAAAGTAATTTTTTGTGCTTTGGAAATATTTGACCGAAATATTTGACTTGAATTTGAATTGTTGAAGTCAGAAGAGGTGAATCCAGTACGTCTGAAGAAGTACGCATTTGGTGTGGTGAGCAAAACGGAGTTGACGAAAACTTTCGATGACCTCTCGGAACGTGCCGATGCAGTGCCTCCGTTGGACGGTTGTGCTGGTTTCGATTCAGTGGTTTTTGTGTGCGTTCATTTTGTTGGTCGTTCGTTTAGTTGGCGAGATTTGATTGAGTCTCGAATTTTTCATTCGGAAAATTCGAGTTTTCATTGGCAGATGAGGAGATTTTTGAGGAAGTTTGAAAAAAAATTATTGAAAGGAAAAAATTATTCGAGGAAACAGTTCAGTGGGTCATTCCAAGACATCAATCATTCCAATTTCAGTCATTTACGTCGTCATTGGGATATTCAACCACGGCCATCGGATATGGTCAATTGGTTTCTGGCAGATTGGCGACGTGGAGCCGAGAAGGCGAAGCCGTTGGTCGAATGTCGAGTGGAACGTCTTCAGAAGACATGGAATTCGTATATCAAATCGTTGATGCCATCCGATGGCGAATTGTGGAAAAAGTTTGTGGACGCATTATGAATTTTGCTTTGTTTTTATTCGTTTATTGATCAATCCGTTTGTTTGTATTTCTTTCGTGATTTATTGATAATTGGATGAATGAATTTATTGCAGAAATAAAGTGGATGAGTCAATGATGCGTCATTGCCATAGCAGTTTGTCGATTGAATCGAAGAAGATTCGTACGCGGAATGTGCGCATCGAACGTCGACTCTTAACCACTCCCGCAGGCAAGAAAGTCGGCGGTGAACCGACGGTGGCAAAACGATCCAAAAAACGACCGATGGATAGCGTGGATATGATCTCGGAACAACGTCGTATTCATATGCGATCCAGATTCTCAGCAAAAGAGCGTGATATGGTTAGTGGTGCGGCTCTGTTTTGAGTATTCTTTTTCATTGTGAAGAGGGTTTTTGTTGGTCGTTTGCTCAAAGGAAAAAATTCATTTTGTTGTTTTCGTATTTATTTCGTGATTTATTATTATTGACAATTCATTTTGTATTTATTATAATTCATTTTGTTGCTGATTT